AAATTTGATATCAATTGTTAGAGAGATATCATTTTCATTTAAAGCACATTCATAAACATTTAAATTTAGGTCAAAAATTTAAAATTTATAAAATCAAAGTATTTGAAAAGTTGATATCAATTGTTAGAGATATATCATTTGCATTTAAAACCAATTTTGACCAAAATTTTATTATGATGAACTAAAAATACTGAAAAATCATTAAAACTTTAAAATGTTCATCATAAAACCTTTTTAACATACATGAGATTAAAACAATGCATAATCATTTAAAATCAAAACTCATGCATGCTTAAATCCAAATGAGCAACCAAATAATCAAAATCAAAAGCATTAAGCTTAGAGGTTACCCATTCCTTTTTCATGTATGGCTAGAGCTTCTTGAATATCATCATTTTCATCACCATTGCTCCCACACACCTACAAGAGACATTTAAGTAGATTTTGGTATCCAAATTGCTTTGGGTCCATGAACGTTAGTTTCAATGCCCCTTGTTCCTTTCGTAACCCATACTTGTCTAATTTTAAACGTTTTCCTTTCTTTAAAGGACAAGTATGTTCCTTATGACCATGAAAATGACAATGTGAGCATTTTGTCATTTCTAAACATAATAAGTTGTTTTTAGAAATTAATTCTTTTTCTTTTGTTAAGCTTTCAAGCTTAACTTCTAACTCAAAATTTTTCTTTTTTTAATCATTTATTTTGATTTTTGAAAGATCTAAATCATTTTTCAAAATTTCATTTTGATTTTCAAAATCAACTCTTGCTTTCAAAATTGATTTATTTTCAATTTTGAGTTTTGAAATTAATTTTGTATATTTGGAATTCATGGTCTCAAGTCCCAAATACAACCAATTTTAAGCATCTTGTAACTCATCAAAAGTAAATGAGTTTGAAATTAATTTCATATATTTGGAATCAAATTTCGGGTTTGAAGAATGCTACACTGAAGAATTATGTTCATTGTCTAGCGGAGAAGCAAAGAAAAGTTTCTTTTAGAATTTGTCCTCCTCATAAAAGATCAAAGTTGCTAGAGTTGGTCTATTCAGATGTTTGTGGTCTGATAAAGGGAATTGTCACATAACAGTGCACTTTATTTTTTTAACTTTCATTGATGATTGTTCAAGAAGGTTGTGGGTATACACTTTGAAGTCAAAAGAACAATTTGTTATGCGTTTAAACAATTTCAAACATCAGTTGAAAGATATCAAGAAAGAAATTAAAGTGCATTCGTATTAATAATGGTTGTGAGTACACAAGGTCAATTCATGAGTATTGTTTGTGACAGGGAATCAAACATCAAAGGACACCACCAAAGACTCCATAGTTAAATGGGTTAGCTGAAAGAATGAACTGAACATTAATTGAGAGAGTAAGATGTTTGCTTTCAGATGCAAAGCTTCTGAGATCGTTTTGGGTTAAATCTTTGAATACAGTGGCACATATGATTAATCTGTCTCCTTGTCTCCTAGAGTTCTTTTGCGAGGTGATTTACCAGATAGAGTTTGGTTTAGAGACGTGTCATATGGTCACCTTCATGTGTTCAGTTGTAAAGTTTTTGTTTATGTTCCAAATGATGAAAGATCCAAGTTTGATGTCAATACTCGACAATGCATATTTATTAGTTATGGTCTAGATGGTGAGTTTGGTTATAGACTCTATGATCCAGTTCAAAAGAAGCTCGTGAGAAGCTGAGATGTTGTCTTCATTGAAGATCCGACCATTTATGAGATTGAAAATATGGAGAAAGCGAATTCACAAGATAATGGTGAATTAATCGACGTGAATCTAGTTCATCTAGACCCTTCACCAGATCCTATTCAAGATGATGTGCATGGTGATGTTCATGATGAGCAGTAAAATATAGGTGACTTTGATGCACCTATAGATGATGTTTTGAATTATCAACAAGCACCTATAGCTTCACTAGCAATTCCACTTCGGAGGTCTTTTAGAGATTAACAATTTTCTATCAGGTATTCTTCAAATGAGTATGTTTTTTAACTGATGGGGAGAACCTGAATGTTATGAAGAGGCTATAGAGAGTGAATGCAAAGATCAGCGGGTTGAAGTGATGAAAGATGAATTTCAATCCTTACATAAAAACCATACCTTTGAGTTGGTAAAACTGCCTAAGGGCAAGAGAGCTTTGAATAATTGGTGGGTTTACAGATTGAAGCAAGAAAATAAGTCTTTATCTCTACGATACAAAGCTAGATTGTTCGTCAAGGGTTATACTCAGGAAAAGGGGGTTGGTTTTGAAGAAATATTTTCTCCAGTTGTGAAGATGTCCTCTATCATAACTATACTGAGTTTGGCAACTTGTAATGACTTAGAGGTTAAATAAATGGATGTGAAACTACTTTTCGTCATGCTGATTTAGAAGAAGAGCTTTACATAGAGTTGCCAGAGGGATTTGCTACACAATGGAAAGATGACTACATGTGCAAGTTGAAGAATAGCTTGTATGTTTTGAAGCAAGATCCTAGACAATGGTACAAGAAGTTTGAGTCTATAATGGGGGAGCAAGGCTACAAGAAGACTACTTCTTATCATTTTGTGTTTGTCAAGAGATTCTCTGGTGATGATTTTATTATCCTTTTGCTTTGTGTTGATGATATGCTTATTGTTAGTCGTAATGCTTCTAGAATTGAGAAATTGAAGCAGTAGTTAAGTAAATCCTTTACAATGAAAGATTTGGGACAATCAAAGAAAATTCTTTTCATAATTTTGACACGTGATAGAAAGGTCAAGAAATTGTGGTTATCACATGAGTGGTACATTGAGAAGGTACTTCGGAGATTTAGAATTGACAAAGCCAAAGCGGTGAATACTTAAATTGTTACACACTTCAAATTTAATGTTAAGCATAGTCCTTCCACATAAAAATAGAAAGAAGAGATGCAGAAAGTTCATTACTCTTCAGCCATGGGTAGTTTGATATATATGATGGTATGCACGAGACTAGAGTTGGCTTACACTGTTGGTATAGTTAGTCGGTTTCTTTCTAATCCTGAAAGAGAGTGTTGAAATATAATGAAATGGATTATGAGATATCTTCGTGGAACTTCCAACATGTAACGTTGTTTCGAGAATGATAAACATGTTCTTATTAGATATACATATTCAGATATGGTCGGAGACATTGACTTGAGGAGATCTACTTCATATTACTTGATCACTTATGCAGGGGGAGCTGTGGCATGGAAATCGAGATTACAAAAGTGTGTTGCATTGTACACCACTGAATCATAATTCATTGCAGCAACCGAAGCATGTGATGAAATGCTTTGGATGAATAAGTTTGTGCATGAACTTGGTTTTACTCAAGAGAGGTATGTACTATATTGTGATAGCCAAGCACAATTCATCTTGGTACGAACTCAACTTTTCATGTTAGATCTAAGCATATTGATGTGAGGTATCATTGGATACGAGATGTTCTTGAAGATAAATTGTTAGAGCTTGAGAAGATTCATGTTGATGATAATGGTGTTGATATGTTGAAGAAGGTCTTACCAAGAGAAAAGTTTGAAGCATCTTGCTCGATCGCCGACATGGAGGCTTTCCCCACATAGTTGGGGGGGATATTTGTTGGGAGTGAGTATCACTATGTGAGGAACCCATCACCAGAAAATGGGTTACAACTTAAAATTGGGTTGCAACTTAAAAATAGATTACAACTTAAAATGGGGTGCAACTTAAAAAGATTATTATTTTTGTCTTTGATTTTGCAAAAAGGAAATTTGCTTTTATCTTGTGTACGTGGGCAGCCTTTACATATCAACAAAATCAATTTTTGAAATAGTGTGAGAGAAGCTTCATTTTGTGAGAAACAAAAGGGAGAAAAACATATTTCAAAAGTTTGGTGCAACAGTGATCAATTCTTCGGTCGAAAGTCTATTTGTGGTTCGATTGACCTAATATTTGGACAGCAATTAGGCGACAAGGTGTTCTTGACTTTGTACGGTCGAATTTTTCATCCGAGTCTTGTAGCGTCAGAAATACCCTTTTTACAGCAAACTGCATTTTTGGTAATATTCTCTCATTTTTCTCTCTATATTGCTAAAGATTACTATTTGTTAGTCTTGTTGGAATTGTATGCTTGTTGTAGGCTTGATTTTGTGATATTGTGCCTGAACATTTGTTGATAGTGAAGTTTTTGATCGGACTCTAAAGTCCCATGGTTTTTACCTTTGATTTAGAGGGGTTTTCCACTTAAAAATATCGGTGTTTATTTATTTGCGTTGTGGTTGATTGGTGGTTGATTAGTGTTGCTAGAGAAAATTTATTGTTCTATTGTGTCCGGTTTCTTTCCCAACACTAAACTCAAACTTCTTAAAGTAACCATAATTTTCTACTAAAAAAAACTCGGATATTATTTGCATTAGCTTAACCGGAATTAAAACGAAGCCGTTAGGTTCCTCAACTGACAAGGGGAGCTTTCCTTGGATAAAGAAAAAGGAAATGAAAACACAAGCTCACCTATTTTCATTGAGCTTTTGCTTCATTGTTGTACCAAAACTAAAACTAGAAGAAAAGTACTGTACTGGGTAAGCGTGGTAAGTGATGGTCCACTTTCTTAAGGTGGAAGGGTTGCTTCGACATGGTCGAGACTGCATGGAAGAATATAAGATTTTAAGTTAAACGGTGAATTTTTAAAATTTCAAAAAATAAAAAAGATTATAAAAATTTTTCAGAAAAGGCGTTCACCCGGCAGCCCCAATCGATCCATCCCACGACTCAGAGGTAAGAACAAAAGTTCAGTCCGATTAGTACTTGTAATGATGCTCTGTATACATGCACATAATCATAACATGTAATTTAAAAGAAAAATGATAACATAAATATACCCTGCAAAATGTTTACACACCTTTGGATTAGAAGACCAATATTTACAAGTTTTATTGCTCATTTTGAGCTATTGTGATCTATGGAGAGACTTTGCAGAGTAAAATAGGATAATTTAACATAGTGAAAGAAGAAACAGAATAAAATAAAAAAATGAAAGCATGTCAAGCCACCTAATTCTCATAATTTGCAGTCCAGAAAAATGGACTCATCATAATGTGGAAAGCAGGAAAGAAATTGCACCTAGTTATTTTTGTGGATGACAAAAGAACTAGGGTGTATTCAATCTTTCAATCTTGTCAAGCCAAGTATCCATGACTTCCGATATGCTCTGAATAAATGCAGCTTCACTCACGCCTGGAAGTAAGGAATCCCAAGCTTCTTGAACCATCTGCTCGATTGCAGATTCCTTGTTTATGTTTTCCCTGGACATGATGCTTCCGATAGCGAACGGAGTGAGGCCTCGCTCGACCCCTTTCTTCAAAAGCATGGTGGAGATTCGGAGTGTCTGTGCACACTCGAGAGGAACATCCAAGCCGTACGATTCCAGAAGTGCAATGTCTTGTTCAGCATCTAGTGATTTTATGTAGGCAATGGTGTCTGATGAGTAAGGCTGCCGTGACTGTGGCCAATAGAGCCACTCAAATGTGCAATCCTCAAACTGCAAGTAGAGCCAAAAGGAATTTAGTTTCGAAATCGAAATATTTATATGCGGCTATGAAAGTGGATCATGAGATCAAAGCAGCATTATTCGAATGATAGCTGTGTTAGAGTTTCCAGAATTTCAAAAGGATCCACACAACTCAACCAACAATAGTTTTTTCAAGTAACAGATCCCATATATGCATGCATTATTGAAATGATAGTACTTACACACTCAGGCAGGCAGTAGCCATGATCAATTGGAATAAGAACAGTCCGGCCATCGTCCCCTTTTCCGATCAAGATATTCCCGGCATGCCTATCGGCATTTGCCATTCTTATATCGAAGACGGTGATTTTGTGCACTTCCTCTACAGGGAATGCACCAGGACCCATGTCCTCACAACTCCCGGAGTTGTTGATAAACATCTGCAAGGATCCGACCTTAACATTCTCAGGTGAGCATTCATATCCATCAGGATGGTTGAATCCTTCATGCAAGCATTGAACCATGCATGTAGGAGGTACACCGGCAAACCCCAACATCTCGCCGGACAAAGATCGCGGTCCGCTCTTGGGATGATCCAATATATAAGCAGCCACTTCTCTTAAAGCTCCTTCTCCAACCCTGGTACCCCTTTTCAACCCTTCACCATTGGTTGAAACAGGTAACCCCTGTGGATTGTTTACAGCCATAGGCTCCTCATCAATAGGCTTAAAAATCGAAACATAATCGAACCCGAAGTTGTCTTGCATGAAGTAAGTCCCTCCGGTCCCTTCGGATGATCTGATCGGCCGGTTTCCTACCAGCAATCCTTCGAATGTCGAATCGATCATATCCCACACAAATGAAGGCAATTTCACTCTAGGATTAACGAGAACAGGTTCCAGCCAAAAATCTCTGACAGTTTGTTCTTGTGTCACAATTTGAAGCCCCTCGGGCTTGTCTTGTTCACCTCCTACAATTCGTCCTCTTCGCTCATCGGAATCACACTCAGCGGTAACCGAAAGCTCCAAATCTTTCTCGACGGGCTTAGCTCTAACTTTAGCTGATTTCTGAACAACCAAATGAATCACATCATCATTATCTTTACACAGATCTTCAACTAACCTTTTGTCATCGACTTTTTCACCATTGAAAAAGATTTCCTGTTCATTAACGTCAACAAAACCCTTCCCTTCTCTAACAATCCTTTGTTTCAAATACCCAACGTTTCTATTCCGATCAACATGAAGTTCGAATTCTTTACCACAACTCGTCCGCACAGTGACGAGCAAAAGATCGGAAAGTTTCAAGACTAGATGCAAAACATTACCTCCTTTAATGCCGTAGTCTCTAACAAGCGAATCGTTACGAGCCAATTCTCTGCCTCCGAAAACAAGCTTCTGTTTCGTCACTACAAACCCTTCACACGTCTGGATCCGAAGCTTGACCGAGGCAATCGGGTCTGATTCCAGGACCCGCATCGGGATCACCGAACCGGCGATCGAGAGGTAAATCAAGATGGAATCAGCCGCCGCTTGGTTCTTGCAAAAACCGGTAGCAGGAGGAACCGGCTCTTGACTCACCTGCCTCCAAGCAACATTCGCAACGGACATTTCTGCAAATGTTGATTCCCGTTGCAAGAAAAAAAAAACCCTAAAAGCACGATTGAAGAAAGGAAAAAAAGCAAAAGCAAAAGAATCAGAGGGATAACTAATTATCTATCTTTCAAATCTCCGCAATGGCAGTCAAGAGACTGGGGATATTAGCTGCTGCTAAAATGGCCCAAACCCAAAACTCTGACAATGAAAGACAGCGGATTCTTTACCAGGGGAAAAGAATCGAAAGCAAAGGTTGAAAAATGGGAGCTTTTTAAAATGAACATTGGAAACAACAATCAACTGTAGAGGTGGGCGATCCAAAACTACCCGATTAATTTACACTACTCGTCATCTCTTTTTTTCCCGATATTCGTGCTCTTTCCGTTTTCCAAATTTGCCCGATCTTTTTGCCGATTTTCTCTACTCCGTTGCTAAAAACAATACCGTCGACGTCGATTTGATAGTGGGGGAAGACGGTAATGTAGCCGTTGGCTTTATATAAGGATTTGAAGTTTGACCCAAACGTTTACAATGGAGCCGTGTTTTAAATTTGTTATTGCCGTTATGTTCCAAGTAACGGACGTTTTTGGCAGGGATGAAGATGAGGTGTTGCGTTTACTGAAATGCCATTCGGATTACACCCCATGTACTTCTAAGGTCTTGGATAAATGAGAAAATTGGGATAATAAAGTAATAATGAATGGGATTCTTACTTAAAAAGGGATTTTTTGGATAACTAATATATTTGGATTTTTAAAATTAATATAGAGATTTTTTAGATACTCTTCTAAATAGTTTTAATATCTATTTATAATCATTCATAGCAATAGTATAATAATAAAATTATTATTCAATATTCACAAAAATAGTCGCTTTATATCATTTTGTATCATATTTTTTTTTCTTGGAGTATGTTAACATTAACGTTTCACTTTACAACAAAATATCTCGTGATTAGATGAAAATTATTATTTAATTAATTATCAATATTTCATACATACGTGACAAGTGACAAGTCCATATGTGATGGCACTTCAACAAAAAATTAATTTTAAAGTAAAATATAATTATAATTAATTATGTTTACACTTATAAAAATATATCTAAAAATATTTTTATTGATGTGATATCACATGTAGACCTGCCACATTCATAGGAAGTATTGACTTTTAATTAACTAACGATTTTCATTCAACCAATAGGTATTTTGCTTTAAAATAAAACGCTAGGGACTAAAGTGTTATGAGAAAGGATAGAATGCAAAGTGACCATTTATACAAATATCGGGAATAATTTTATTATTATACCTATAACAATTGATAATGTGTATATACATTACATATATAACTGTTTAAATCTAATTTTCTAGAAAAAAAAAGACTTTCTTTTATAATTAAAGCACTTAACGAATTTAATTTTTTTTACATAATTAAGTACACATAATTTTTGAGACATCCCACATAAAATATTTGATACGCGTGTTGCAATTTAAATTCTGCAGCCTTATTTATTATAGTTCTAAACTTAGGAAAATCAAATTTAAATAAATAAAATTATAAAATTTAAGTTTTATATCATTTATGTATTTCTTTTATTAAAATGAGATTTTGTTCAATATAAAGACAAGAGAATAGATGACTAAACTATCCTTTACAATCGTGTTATCCCAAAAATGATATACACTAAATATATTGCAAATATTAGCATAAAGGTTGATTTAGCTTATTAAAATGAAATAGAATTATTAGTTGACAAGTCATGAAATTATGTAGCTGAGAATGATGTTATAGAATAAAGTTTGGATGATTATAGGACATGATTAAGAATAGTAATTATACTATTTAAACAAAAAAATTATTTAATAGATTATCATTTTATATTAGAAAATACAACATATTATTTTGGAGGTGTTTGATTCACAGAATGTAAGATTATATTTGGAAATAATATTATTGGAATGTAATATCACTATGGGAATATTGTTTTACCTTGTTTGGTTTATTTAACAGGAAAGTAAAATTACAGTGTCTGATTGGAGAAATATAAGGTTATTTGAATGCATATTTTATTATTATCGTTGTGATATTTTTTTAAAGTTAAAGTTTAATATTAAATTATAAATATTTAAATAAAATTTTATAGAAATATTTTAATCATTATACTATCTAAGTTTTGAGAAAAATACATTTAATATATAATTTGTATATTAAATTTTTATTTTTAAATTATTTTCAATAAATATTATATTTATTTATATGAAATACAATATAATATAAAAAATTAATATTATGGTCTCGAGTGGATAAAGAAGTTATTTTTTAATGTATAAGATCTAATTTTTAATAATTTTAAAATTAAAAATTATTTTAAATAATTATATTTTTATAGTAATATTATTTTTCACCTCATTAAATTATAAATAATTAATATATTGAATATTAAAAATATAAAATAATTTTAAATACTCAAATTGATTTTATAAAAAACTCAAATTTATTAATATTTTACTAAATTAATCTCTTTGTATATTATTATTATTTTTATAAGTTTGAGTAAAGTAAAAAAATAATAAGAATTGGGAATGACTGTTATAAAGAGAATTTATTAGTCTAGGGATATTCTTGTCCAAAGTGGTGAGAATTGTCTAATAGCTAATAATTTAGAGGTAATGATAGTCCCACTATTTTAACAAAAAAAATTCTATTATTGAAAAAATATTATTCATTGGTAATAATATTTTTCATGAATCAAACGCCCTTTTAGGGTTATTATATTGTTAATGAATATTTTTCATTTCTTAAATATATTTCAAATAAGTATATTTATTTTTAATTTTTTATTAATCTAAGGGTGATTATAAGTTAGTATATGTTCGAAAGACTCCAAATCTATTTAACAATAAACCCTCAAATACTCCCGACATACAATGTATTAGAATCCAAAACCTCTTAAACAACATCAATATGGTGTAGCAATTTCTTATAAAATTGTTATCTATTATTAAAAGAATTCCTCAATTTGAAATTGTAGTTTATTCATAATGTCACATCCCTAGAATCTCGAACTAGAAACATTGTAGCCTTAAACGATTTTTTAAGTGAGAACGACTAAGCCAGTCTGAACAATTTAAGTAAAAACACTTAGACAAAAGAGCGGAAGCTAAACAGAACTTCGAAAGGAAATGCCTCACAAAGGAACAAGAGAAACTCAGAGAATAACTTAGCTTTATTCAACTTTGAATGAAAAATGAGGTGGGAGGTAAGCCTCTATTTATAGTGAAATCTCCCTACATCTAACGGTAGAAATTGAATCTAATCAATGGATAAGATTAAAAGGAAATCTTATCTAAATCTTTACATTATATTTATTTGAATTCAAAATAAAAGATAATTAAATAAAAACCTTATTCAAATCGAGCCAGTTTAAGCTTTAGTAGCCCATGATTCTTCTGCAAGCTCCTATGGTGGCCCAATGTTGCAGCAGGTGGCTTGGTTATGCCCCCAAGGTGGCCTAGGAGGGTCTAGATGCACATTGTCTGGTTCAACCCGCACTTGACTCGGTCGCGAAGTGGAGGTCTATGACATTCTCCCCCACTGATTCTAGTGGCTTCCTTGTTGTGCGGCTAGAATGATACTACTCGATCTACTTTATGAACTGCAAAAGTCCCTCGAATAGTTCCCAAATCCCCTCACTGTAGGGAAGCCCCTTCCACATAATAAAATACTCATGCCTTGGGCGATGACCTGCTCATCGAACACACTTTTCGACTCGAATCTCTCTGACTTCATTCTCATGGGAAATCTCCACTCTGAGTGGTGCACGGAGTAACTTGCCTCAGCTTGGATAATCCTCATCACCGTGATAAGGCTTCAACAAACTAATATGGAACAAAGGATGTGCTTAGATGTTCGGATGTAACTCCAATTTATAGGCCATAGTGCATACCCTTTTTAGAACTCGAAACAGTCCCTCATATATTCGCACAAGCCCTTTGTGGACATTCGCGTTGCGCAAGATCTCCGTCAACTTAGCAATGATTAGATCTCCAGCCTGAAAGTTCACGTTCATGCATATTTGGTCTACCCACTTCTTAGTCCATTTACTTGTCTTGTTCAAACAAGCTCGGGTCAACTCATGGTGCTCTTGCCACTCCTTGGTAAAGTCATGCGCTGCTAAAATAGGCACATCATACCTGGAAACAATCGAGTTGGGTGTCAACGATTTTTGCTCAATCACAATCTCGAATGGACTCTGATTCGTGGCCTTGCTTCGTTAGAAATCATAGAAAAACTAAGCTACATCAAGTAACTTTGGCCAGTTGCATTGTGTAGCACTCACATAGTGCCACAAGTAAATCTCCACGAGTCCATTCATTTTATTCGTATTACCATCAGTCTGCGGATGGCAAGTCATTGAAAAGTTCAAGTTTTATCCTATCAACATGAACAACTCGATACAAAACCTTCTAGTGAACTGTGTATCCCAATCACTAATGATCATCTTTGGCACGCCCCAATACTTCACAATGTGATTCATGAAAATAAGAGCTACTTCATCAGTTGGACACACCTTCGAAGCTGATATGAAAGTCTCATACTTGGAAAACCTGTCAACCACAACCATTATACTAGATAATACATTAGTGTTTGGTAAACCAACAATGAAATCAATGAAAACACTTTACCATGACCTCTCCAGAATAGACAATGGTTGTAACAGTCCTATTGTGTTAGGATCGAGTCATTCAATTTTTGAACAACTTCCTAGTGGGTCACCCATCCTTGAATTACTTTGGTTCAAACACGTTTAACTACAGAGTTCTGAAGCGAATGGTCACCATTCATTCTTAAATCTAATTGGTGATAAGTAGGTGGGTCAATTTAACCTCATATCTTTATAGCGGGTGATCCTTGGTTTCTCCTAAGCCAATGTGAATTCTTATGGGGCACCCCCCACAGTTCACCACGGTATTGCAGAGCCCCGCATCTATAGCGTGCTACGGGCGGGCCTAGGGGCTTCGCAAGGCACATGTGGGCCTCAGCAGGTTGAGCTGTCAAGCACCTGATATTGTGCCCATACACGATTGAATCCCTAAGGGTGATCGCTGGACCCCATAACCCAACAATCACCCCCCTAACGACACCTGGGGGATTCACCCCTGCAACCTGCTCTGATAAACTTGTTAGGATCGAATCATTCAATTTTAGAATAACTTCCCAGTGGGTCCCCCATCTTTGAATTACTCTGGTTCAAGCACGCTTAACTACAGAGTTCTGAAGCGAATGATCACTATTCCTTCTTAAAACCAATTGGTGATAAGTAGGTGAGCCAATTCAACCTTATATCTTTGTAGCAGGTGATCGCTGGTTTCCCCCAAGCCAAGGTGAATTCTTGTGGGACACCCCCACAGTTCACCACGGCATTGTAGAGCCCTGCATCTATAGCGTCCTGCGGGCGG